AAACAAGAATTGTAGCGTTTAAATGGTGGGAAAGATCGCCTTTTTATCGCTCCATGTAACTTAGCATATGGTGAACGGGTGGAATGCAGAAATGAGAAGTGTAGAAAATCGATGTTGCCTTAGTAGTAAATCAGCAAACGAGTGAGTTGAAGCGGGCTTCGTTTCAAAGTCGGTCGATGAGGCTTAGAACGCTTGGCGGTTCGTTAGGTAAACATAGTCCAGCGGTAAGATATTCGCAAAGATCTTGATGCGAATAAAATCCTGGTCCTCTGCTGTCGCACGGTAGCTCAGATGCACAGCATTGTTCGTAGTATTGTCCATCGTTTTATTTATTTCATTACTACTGCTATTATACGTTGTGTTAGTTGAGATTATCTCTTAAATCATTTGCATAGGTTGAACACCTCCGGGTTGTGATTTTCACTGTATGCCCAGTTTTCCAAAGCTTTTGCCTGTAATGCACCAATTCCTGCATCACAGAAGTAAATTTTATAGATGATTGATGGCACCAAATACAATAGATGGTACAACAGTTTATTACCGACGCGTTTCGTTACATAAACCATAGGATCATTAGGGCTAGGCATGATGAACCTAAGTATTATTTGGAAATAATTTCTCCTGTCCGAAAAGAGATCTGCTTCCTCCATATTCCTCGTTGCAAGTTGTATTCTGAACTCCGGTTCGACTTTGGCTATGTTTCTGCTCTCACGCGACTAGTTCATGGTATATGACAAATGGTTTAAGCGCACCTAGCTGGCCTGACATATTAACCTTCTTTTTTATGTCCACATCGACCGAGATTACTCTTGCTGGGAACACCAGAAAATCATTTGTAACATCGTTGTGTAATATTCAACCCTCTTTATGCTTCGAAGCGTACGCTGCTGTTCAACCGTCGTTGAGCCATTTGGTTTGGGTAAAATTTTGTCTCACTTTTTTATGCTAAAAAATGTAACTGTTAGTCGGTCTTGTTCAAGCAGTAAACATGCAGCTTTTTTCATGCTGTCATGAATTGGAGGCGATCGTGACCACGTCGCGTTTCTTTTTCTTTGAGTTTTTGTTGCAGAGTTCAGTTTGCCCCAGCGTCTCATCGCTTTCCGGTCTGACCGGGTTCGAATGTTGACTCGTATGGTCTCGTATGCGTTGTCTTTCGTGTTCCTCCTCCGCCGTTTTACTTTCAGCCGCTGCTCAGCGATGACTCAGTTGCTATAGTTTGCTTCACAGTTCGCCCCCCCCCCCACCGCAG